TCTCTCTCTCACATGCTTGCCTGCCTGCAGTGTCACGCCCGTTTCCAGGTGCAGGCCCTGCCATATTCCTCTCTCTCTCTCTCTCTCTCTCTCTCTCTCTCTCTCTCTCTCTCTCTGCATGTGTGTGTGTGTGTCTTACCTGACAATCCTGTTCGTGGGAAGACTGGAGATACCAGTACGAGGCACATAGTCTTTTTTTTGTTTTTTGTTTTTTTTTCGGGGGGGAGGGCGGGGGCGCATTTCGGAAGTTCATACCCTATATTCGTAGCATAACGGGTATACAAATACAATGCACCCCGTGCGAGGGGGGGGGGGGGGGGGGGGGGGGGGGAAGGGGGGCATTTTCAGAAGTTGATACCCTATATTCGTAGCATAACGCATGTGCATTGTATACAAATACAACGCACCCCGTGCGAAATAACAGGCATGCATTTCGTTCAGGGGAAGACTGCAGGTTCAAATTTCGGAGGGCTAATGTGAAAGGTCCTATGTTTAAATCTCCGAGGGCTATTATGAAAGGTCCTAGGTTCAAATCGCATAGGGCTAATGTGAAAGGCCCTTGGTTCAATCTCATAGGGCTAATGTGAAAGGTCCTAGGTTCAAATCTCGGATAGCTAATGTGAAAGATCATAGGTTCAAATCTCGGAGGACTAGTGTGAAAGGTCATACGTTCAAATCTCGGAGGGATTCCGAGCACATGAGGGGAAAGCGGAACTGACTATTGTTGCTGACACCTGATCTATGGTATAGTGGAAACAATAGCCATTTCCACTTAACCCTCCACTCATAGATTTGAACCTAGGACCTATGAGTGGAGTCCCTGCTAGCTCACAATCATGGCAATAGTGCAAAAGCAAACCCACAAAGGTGACAGGGAATGCTAAAAAGACAGCAGAAAACTAGAGATGTGCAGGTTGCTTGAGTGGAAATTTCAACCTAGGATCTCTGAGTAGAGTGGAAAGCTTAAAGATTACTAGAATATCCCCACAGGTTGCCTGAATGGAGAACTTTACTTCCTGCGGATGGAGGTTGAACTGGTGATCGTCCTCCCAACGGAATGGAGATGAGGCCATAAGGATTCACACACACAGAGAGAGAGAGAGAGAGAGAGAGAGAGAGAGAGAGAGAGAGAGAGAGAGAGAGAGAGAGAACACATCTAGATG